CGCCCGCCCACGGCAGGCGCCGATATTGCCTAATTTGGCTGTCGAATTTGGTAAAAAGGACAGCCAAATAGGGTGGGCGCCGTTGGGGTGCAACAATCGGAAACACGCCGGCAGTGTTCTTGACTCAGGACATACCTCGCGAACTGAAGGCCAATGTTTTATCGTTGGGATGTGGAGATGCCCGCAGCATTCTCTACACAGCGCACGTCGCTGAAGGTAAGTTCCGTAGTGTAAATGTTCTGTTAGCAGACTCACCCACGAAACTCAGGTGCGAGCCCGATCGATATCACCTGCTGCGATATTGAAGGCTTGGTCATTGGTAAGCTTGAGCAGAATCATTCATGCTTGAACGACCTCTGACAAAATCCCAGCACGTAACATCATTCTGTTCACCCTCATTCTTGACGACAATGGAACTCGAACCAAGGACATCTGGGACATCTACTACCACCTGGTTCTTGGTCCCAAAGCTCTGGCCTTGCTCGAAAGTCAGGCGCAGAAACTCCTCGCTGTTTCAGATACAATGGAGAGTTGGCATGCCAGCAAATACGGCAAGCTCCTACGCATTTGCGACAGTAGCAGCTTTTCCGAAGTAAAGAAGGTCTGGGGCACGTTCTTGACCAGCGCTCTCGATGAGGCCCAGAAGTCAGCCCGCCTCGACCGCCTCCGATCCAGTCTTCAGAATGCAAAGGATCTCCGGCGCCATTACGTCGGGGAAAGTCTAGTCCTTACAGGCACGCGATCTGCTGCTCCCCTAAATCTTGCGGCCTTCGCGGACCTTGTAGAACAACACAATCTCTTTTGGGATACTGGCACCACAGACAAATCCGGCGGAAACGACAGAAACACACCAAACCCCATGTTCACCTCTCAACTAAACGATGCTTCCACGCTTCACTATGGTACTGATCCGCTTCTTGGTTTCCACTTGGCTACAGCATATGCGCCGCTGGATCCAAATACTCCTCCAGATTCACACGAAATCCTTCAATCCTCAGCGAACAGGCTAGTAAGAGCGGCTCGGAAGCATTTTCAAACATGGTGTAAGTCTTTTAGAGAACATGCTGGCATGTTGGTCCTACGATTCTTCGTAGGAGAAGCGTTGGCGTTGTGCCACGCCTTGCAGCAGAGGAAGACGAGAAATTCAGCTGGACCATATCGGAAGCCGGGATCATTCCAGCCTATTTCGCTTGACGGCCAGGATTATCAATCTGCTCCCACTGCGCCTTTATCTTTCGGTGTTATTGACACGTCAAATCTTGCCGACCACGTCGGAGCCATGAACCTCATCATTGCTACTTCGCCGTTACTGGACAATACTCTCTTCGCAACTTTATACACTGAATCCTTGGTGAGGCAAGAGAACAACCACAAAGCATTAGCGGAAAACTTCCTCTGCGGACACGTCTTGACGATGTCAGTTCTCCTTAGCATGTTTCCCACCGAGTATTGGACGAATGCTGTCCCAGCATCGACGGCAGACGAAACATTGCTAAATACCACAACGCGCATGGCTGGAGGAGAAGACTCGGGTTGTCAGATGTACAGTAGGCTTACGTGGAAGCGCTACATACCAGACAGCACGCTTGGGATATCGAACAGACCAGCCGTCGCATTTGAGGACGGTGCCCTGGCCAAAATTCTCTTCGATGTCTATCTCAACATGTTTCAAAACGAAGACATCGGACGCCTCTCGTCACGCATGGGTGAGCAGTCCCAGGATATGCAATTAGCCTCTCGCTATCATCGTGGAAGCTTCGCGCTGCTTCTGCGGTTTGTCAAAAACCGGCTACCGACTAGCAACTGGGACAAGGTCATGGACAGTCTTTTTGACTACATCGCAAACGACGGAAGCATTCCCACCAGCAACAACCACATCCAAGAGCTTTTCGTCCAGCTACATATGCTAAATACATACACTGTTCAAGTTCTACAACCGCCCCCGGATACCAACAGATACACTCATCGTCCAACCCAGCTCGAGGGTTGGAAGCACTTACCCAAAGTTGTCTGCCTGACTTTGAAAGTTCCGAGGGACCGATTGCGATTGCTAACCAACTTACCACCACAAGAGCTGGGTACTCCAGCTGTGCAATGTACTCTCCAGTCTTCAAAAACTTATAGAGGCCGGCCTTTTCAGAACATCTTCTCCACTCTCCACTTGGCTTCTGGAACGGTGATAATCTCTGGCACAGCCGAAAGCAACTCAATAGCTCTCGAAATCAAGGAAGACGAGAGTTGTTGGTCGGGTAGATCGCCCTTGTTGGTGTCTTTTTTTGTTCCTACCTGGCTCCTCTTACTCGACCCAGAGAACGCTATGCTGGCTTTTGGCATCCAAAGCACACCTCACCACACAGCCGCACTCTCACCTATCCTTGGCTTTGATTTGAATGTGTTCACAACAACCATCGGGAACAGTGACAACGTCTTTGTCACCAAAGGGCTTCCGTATGGGGCTAATACCTTGCCGCTCAACACAGTCGCTGATACTTCCATTTGCCACGAAATGTCTCCGCAAGGCGACTTCCGTTCGTCGGTCCTAGCAAACCTAATGGTTGAATCGGCGAAGATTAAGTCCTTTACCGGTCATATCGAGCTCTTATCGGAAAAGGCCAAGTCTATCCTCAGGAACGGTGCTGAAGTGCGAACGATCCAGGAATCTCCTTGTAGCCTCTCTATTCTAATCGGCAAAGGACACAAGTACTACGTAAAATTTCCTATCCGGGTATTGCTTCGATTCACGAAAACGAAGATTGCTCGGACATCGTCCTACATCAAAGTAATCGCACCTATAGAAGACCCAGTTGACTCCTATGGAGATACGGGGCTCATGTACCCAGTGCTCTCTTGGAAGCCTTTCCCGGTTCTATGGAACATGTCTCGTGTGAATTTGGCAGCCCTGCCGGTTCTTGATGTTACGCAAAAAGACCGCATGCAATGGCTCATCACACACTGTTCGCTTATGTTCTCGCAAAGGGAGAACCGTGCGAGAGAATCATCACTTGCATCTATGCAAGACGGCTTGATGGACACCAGGGCCCGCTTCAAGGACGGGTTGTTCTCGATATTCATGCACCAGTCCGGCTTACAGGGTGAGAAAGCCGTTGTCTTTGGGCTTAACAATCGATCCAATGGTGGCATCCAGGTCTTGATTTTCGCACCAATCCTTCGGCTAGACGGCGCAAACCGCACTGTATCTCTCGATGCAGCAGTTATCGTGCTAACCGACGCGATTACAATGCGGATGCGGACATTCATGCAGCCGTTGCAATCGCAGGTCTGTTCAATTCTCGTTGATGACGAAGAGATGCAACTCTGGAAAGAAACCATCCCGGCTTTCGTCGAACGGAGTAGGCAGTGGAGTCATCAACCCACCTGCGAGTACATGCGGGAAGCAAAAATCCCGCTATCCACGAAAAACGGTGAAAAACTTCTCTGTTCTTGCGGAAATGGCAAGATGCTCGATGATGTGATCGCGAAGTTCCCTTATTTAAAAAAGGTGTCTAGGTTCGCTGTAAGGGCAGCCATCTCACCAGTCTTCGTGTCCCCGTTCGTGGAGCAGCTGTACCAGGGAAGAGCTCCTCCGCCGGACCAGGTGGTGCAGATGCAAAAGGGCGACCAGGTCTGCTGGAATTGTGGTGTCAGTAAGGGAACTGGCGGAAAGGAACTACAGCGGTGCTCGAGGTGTCAGAAGGCGAGGTATTGCTCGGTGGAGTGCCAGCGGGTGGATTGGAAGGCGCATAAGGCGTCATGCAAAGCTTAACGTAGCCTGTTACAACTTTACGCCATTGAGCCGGATCAGTTGAGGAGGCACAGCACGTTCGAGTTGAACGGGTAGGTAAGAGAATATCGGTCTTAAGATTGCATGAATCATGAAGCAGTGTTAGCATAAGTATTAACGGTGGTTCGTGTCGATCGTGTTTTGCTCTTGCTTTTACTTTCTATGAGGGTCTGGCCGTGGTTTGCGTACTGTATTGTGGAATTCTTTATCTTTTCCGTATTTTCTAAATTACCAATAAATCAACTCTTTATCTTCGATCACGATGGTCGTTTGGAGATATCCACCGCCACGCTTCCATACAGATCCGGAACGGCCTGCAACAAAGAAGAAGCATCGCTCCTGCTCGACGCAAGCATGCTGGATAAAGACCTAAGTTTCTTTTGAGTCTGTAGAATACATAATTTGCTGATCCATGCACGGTGTACTTTGCGCCAAGTACAGGGAGACAAGGGCCTCAAGGGTAAGCTTTGATTCTGAAGGTGCAACTGAAGGTGTTGGCGACGACGGGGGTTCTGCGTCGGAGTCTGAAGTCGGAGGAGATGACGCAGCGAGGGAAGACGGGTCTCCTTCGCCCTTGGCAGTCTCGCTCTTACTACTAGCGGTGGAGCTCATGCTCGTAGTCGCCGGATGCCTGTCGCAAAGCCGAGAGGTTGTAGGGTGAGGTTTGTAGGAGGACCCAGTAAGACCCAGCGACAGCACATCAACGAAGAAAGGATCGCAGCTACTTATCAATCGATAGTGTTTTCGTGTTCCGTGCCTAGTTTTCATCTTCTATGCCTAGCTCCAAACGTTCACGCCCACGAAGCTACAGCTACCTGCGTCCAACCCATCTTCTCAACCATCAAGACTCCGACTCCAGCCACAATTTGTGGCGCTCCTGAACGTCCGCAAAGCTTCTAGCTGGGTGCTGGCTAAAAAAACCTCCAAACAGCTTTAGCTTGTTTACCCACTGATCTTTGAGCATACCATTCTCGGAGTACGGCGCTTGGTCCATAAAGCGGCACCACTGCTTAACCGCTGTAATAGCAGTATGCGGCTCGCAGTGGAACCACTCGTTGTGAGTCTTTACGCTGCCCTTGTGTAGGCATTGCCGAGTCTCGAGAAATGGCTTTAGCTCTAGATGTGCAAGCTTCTCCACGCGCGCGGGATGCTTGATGGGCGCTGTATTGTACAGCACTACTAAGTTTTTCAAGCTGCAATTTCTCTTGATCTGGGCAACACGCGCCTTGACGTCTTTGGCCATACCAACTTTGACTCGACCGGGAAGGTCCTGAGACTGCATGACGTAGACGTGTGCATCAAGAGGTTCCAGTGGCATCTTGAGCAGATTCGCAATATTAGCCTTCAGCTCGAAGATGGCCTGATAGTTGAGTTCCTCATGCGCTGTGGGGTCTTTGGCGCAATCATGGCACCGGCTCCGATCTGGCGGTGAGGGGCCGCTTACTTTAAGGTCCTGGAAACACCGCGTCGTGTCCTCTACACGGAATTTTCCGGCCAATGGCTTAGATGACGCAGAATTTCCTGTCGCTCTCAATGCCCTAGGCGCTTCCTTGCTGATATTAGTAGGAGGAAGCCTTGCATCCCGCAATGGAGAAGAGAAGGCGGCTTTTGACTGTTTCTCAGGCGTTTGGGCCCAAGGGTTATCCATCTCATGTGTTCCATTGAAGCGGCAGTCTTTTGTAAGGTTGTTGAATGACTGCCTGCGCAGGTGATTGCCCTTTGTATATTCCGAGATCGAAGGAGTGCTATCACCTAGTAGAGTTGGCTTCGTAGAAGTGGCAGGACCAGAGGGTGGCGAGCTACTCTCAGGCACGCTCGATGGTAAATGTCTCAGGGGACCGAAGAAAAATCTGTCCCATTCTGCGTGGTATGCATCTATCCAGTCTTTGCGGCGATGCGAAAAGCATAGTAAGTCGCTGACTAATTGGTCCAGAACATCTCGGGGCGGAGAAGTCAGTAGATACCCTTCAAGGGCAGCTCGAGCTCTCTCCCGTAATGCATTGTCGATGTCAACTTGGCACCGTTGTCCAGTACCCCCAGTGGCGATACATTGAAAAGTCTTACTGAACAAAAGATCCCACTTGACGGAGGAGAATTCCAATGCCAAATCCTGCGGCTGGTCTCCTGCACTGGCTTTCGGTGAACTGTCTTCCTCTGTTTCCGCAGACACTTTGTACTCTAGTCTAGGGATGCATTGAGATGTCCATTGTCCAGAAGCCAGGCGTGAGGGTCCAGGTCGATCATCGAAGATGTTTAGGAGATGCCTTGAAACTGCGTCCGGTGAGTCTTTGTGGAGGACAAGAGCCATGGACTGAGCCTGCCTTGTAACGGCGTCCGGTGAGCCATTGTAGCGGACAAGGGCCATGTACTGAGCCTGCATTGTTGCGAAAGCCTTTTCCTCTTCGGAGCGCTCCAAGGCCAGGATTTCCAGCAACACAGCCAAGAAATACCTGGTTTCCTGAACGTGTTTAGGACACAGGAGGATACCGGTAAGCTTCGCTCCAGTTTCAAAGCTGTATGGAGGGGTCGTGTTGCGGATAATATTATAGGCGCTGTCGATAAATTCTGAAGAAGGCTGGGTCTTTTTGGAACATGTTTTCTTTGGGGTCATGGGCATGGCCAAGCATGAAAAGACTGATCTTCGTTTCTCTTCATTTTGGAGGTTCTTCAAGGCCTTTTCCGCTGAGGCCACATGATTATTAGGCTTCCGTGCTGAAGGATTGGCGGGGATGTCAAAGGCTTGCTTGTAGTCTGACATTGTGCATGCGATCAAAGCAGAGGATGGGGATGGATCTGGAATGGGTGTTGAAGACAAGAAGATTTGACCTAGCTACTTATAATCTACAAGATGGTGTCGCATAGCGGGTATAGCTGGCGCTCGGTTTTGACCCCACGAGGATCTAAGATTGGCTTGCATGGGTAGCCTGCAGGTGGCGCCCAGAGGAAAAAGAAGGCAGAAAGATAACACTTGGTAGAAGGTAATTCTCCTACGCCGCGTACCTTTTCAGACCTGGTGTATCCCTGTCACAGCTATCAGGCGTGACGTGTGGGGGTCGAAAAGTCGTGCTGCTTGCGTGGGGAGGATGCTGTTGGTGATTGCGGCGGTTGTTACAACGATGCGGTGTGATGCGGTGCATGCGGCGCAGCATACCGCTGGTTGGTAGGCGAGAAGGGAAAGAACGGAGCGGCGGTGCCGTATCGTATATGGCATTTGACCAGGGACGCGTAAGTTGAGGCTACAATTGTGTGCGGCGCAGCGTGTCTGCCTTGGCTTGGCCGGCCGGGGGTGCAAGGCAGAAATGCAAGCATCGGGCGCACGTGTAAACGGAAGGTACTGCGCACGAGGGCATTGAGTACTGGTAATCTCCCATGAGAGAGGAACAGGCCGCATGGACGGTACCCAGAAAGCTCCTCCGCTCTCCCCATCCATTACCATTCGCGTGCGTAGTTGGCATATACGTTACGCTGCGAAAGCTTTAGGACGCGCTGATGAGGATTTGTGCTAGGTGGACGTGAATTGCAGCTGCTGTCTCTCTGTTGAATGCTATGTGGTCGGGTTATGCCGTTAGAGTTGGAGGTTTTTTCGTGCAGGTTGTAGCCAATGGTGGAGGTGGATGTCAGGGAGGCTGTAGTAGGCGAAGCTTTTCACTTAAGTCTTATGTATCACTACTAGAAGCCATGTGTTTATTGCATTGATTCGTGCTCGAGAATGTCGAAGCTGATGTACTGAGTAGGACAGCCATGCCAGGCGCCTGATACACCGTGTACATTCCTCGAAGAGCCGTAAGCGTTGGAAGCCCTTTCTTCGACGACGGCTTCAAAAGCCGCTTCGCAGATGCAACGGTGGCAACACCGAGCTCTGGAGTTTTCTCTCGGGGACAGAACGAGCAGCATCGGGTTCAGGTAAGAAGGTTAACAAGGTCGCCGAATCCATCTCCGCAAATCGAGCAAGTCTGCTCACAGAGGCGGTGGTAGAAGTCGGACAAAGTGATGTGGAAAGCCGCGCTGGTGCGCAACAATGCGCAGAAACAGTTCAATGCCGAGGAAGCGATGATGCGGTACTCGTGGAGTAAACCAACGACCTCTCGAGCGCGGAGGCTCACCTGGCGGAAGTGAACCAGCGTATTCATGTCCATGCGCAAAATGACCATGAAGATGAGCTCAAGCGGCAGCTTCTCCAGTTGTCCGAGCCCGCTATTAGTGGCCGGAGTGTCAGCTTCGGACGCACGCTGGAAGACGGTGGCAGGAGAGGCGCTGACTTTGTCGTGCTGGCTCTCCGGGAACTAGATGACAGCTTTGTCGAAGTCCTTGCGGTGGTAGGGTGTAGCGCGGACGATGGCTTCTGCGTCGGAAGGGGAGAAAGCGAAGGCTGCCTCGGAGTGGTAGCCCCGCACGAAGCTGTCGGGTATGCGCGGAGTGCGGTGTGGGTTAGGCGCCATGTTGTTGGGAAGAGATCAATGAGGTTTGAGGTTTGAGGTTGTGGCGTTCGGCGTTGTTGTGATTGTTGCGGGTGCGTGAGAAGGAAGAAGGAAAGAAGGCTTGCGGTGGCGGATTGAAAGGGCCTTCGGTAGCGCGACCGCAATGTGAAGAGTGGTTGAGAGTATACGTCTACCTTCCCACGGTAAAGACGTCGGAACCGGCGTTGCGACACGCGCGACAATCTCACCCAGCTGCACAACCAAAATCAACCGCTTGGCAGATTCGTCCGAGAGTAAACCTCAGTGCCCGCACGTCCTCCCTCAGCAGTGTATTCCAATCCTCGCTCACCCAGCCAGCGGAGTAGCGAATTCGCGGACAAAACCCAGCAGCGAAGCAGCGCGCGGGCGCTGAGTCGAAGAAAGAGCCTCGTAGGCGCGCTTCTCTGCGTCGAGAAGCTTCGTGAAAGCTGTCGCAACGGATCGGGTGGGCGGGAGCTTCGCGCGACGGCGACAGCGGCGATGCGACTGGTGGTAGGATTATGTGCGGTGGCCTGGCAGCCGAGAAGCTTTGAGAAAGACCCGTTACGCGCACTCGCGCGAGCGTGAGCGTGAGCGTGAGTGCTTGACGTGTGTAGGTGTATGCGATCGCGACGTTGGAACGACGGGTCGCACGACTGTGGGCAGCGTGAGGCGGCGCGACGCGAAGCTGACTTCAAGCGCCGGAGATGCACCTAGTCGTGCGTTACGCTGCGGCGGTCGTCTGCCTAGGCACTGGGAAGCTGGACGTGAGCGTGGGCGTGAGCGGGAGTGTTTGACGCGGGTTACGCGCGATCACGACGTCATAAAACAAGGCGCGGCTCTGCGGCTCTGCGGGCACGATGGCGGCGCAGTGCGGTGCGGGTAGCTGAGCCGCGGGCCGGAAACGGCGTAATTTACCCTAGGCACAGAAGGGCTGTCTGGTGGATGCTTGGAGTTGGGGGCTGTATTTTATCTTTTCGCGCAGCGGCTGGCGGCGGATTTGGGCGCCTGCGACCGACCGACAACGACTCGGACCTGTCGCGAGTACTTCGCCAATCTAGAAGTATCTACGGAAAGGCCAGACGTCCGGTAATTATCACTCGAGCCAGCTCTTTCCAATCCGCTACAGAAACTGGTTGTTCTATTTGGAGCGTCGTTTGTGTACCGGCCTGACGGCAGCACCAGCAGACCTCCCGGCAGCATAACCGCACGTCTTCCGTATCGCATAAACACGACTTGTATTGTCCTAGTTCCTAGTATTCGCGCTTAGTCGGCTTGTTCGTTCGCATGGTACGTAGTTGGCTGGCTGTGTTGTTCCTTAAGCCGTAGTCGCTCAGGGATCTCGGGAGGTCCGTTTATATAACGGTCAACGATTGCGATTTCTGCCTGTAGTCTTTTCTTAGCATCCGCGTCTTTGTGACCTGTAGCCAGCGAGACGTACCGTTCCTCCTACTGCATAGATGTCCTTGGCTCTCTGGCGCCCGATGGGATTTCTTTTTGACCTCCGCAGGTAGCCCGGCACGGAAATCTTCAGGCGCATCGGCTATTGGCCCGCTGTTTGCCGCTCATAGCTTACTCCGCAATCCACACACTTGCACGACGCGGCGAGACCTCCGCAGGTCTCTCCGCAGCTCCCAAATGAATATCTCTTGGCTTGTCCTCGCTGCATGCCCGACCTCCGCACAGCCTGCCTCTCATCGTCTTATTGTTTCCAATATATAGTTGGTCAAGAGGTCGCGCTAAGGGGCAACGCTCGTGTATATGTTGCGGTCGTATCGCAGTGGGAAGTCAAAATCTCATCGCAGGCTGCTTAGCAGCTGGGTCGCGGCAGCAGCTCCGCCTGCAAACACCGCGTCAGCAACAACTCGCACTAATGATGCTCCTGTACTTACATGTCCTTCGTCCCAATCTACCCTGTCATGGCTGCGCTGCGGTGGCGTCGTGGTTGCATGCTTGCTGGCTGCTTGTGTGCGGTGAGATGCGAATTTGTTATGGTGTCGCAAAGTTTGGCGGGGTAGGGTGCGGGGTTGTGTGGGGCGTTGGCGGGGGAACGTCTCAGCCTTGCCTTGCATCGCGCTCGGGCGGCTGGGTTCCCAGCCTCGTGTTTTCCTCGCAATCTCTGCTTGCGCGGCCATGTCGAGGTCTATAGCCGGACTTCATCGCAATTATTTTCTTTGATTAGGTAGACACGTAGGTAGGCCTGCTGCTTGCTCCGCCCTCCACCCCTCTATCCCTTATTCGCCGGTCGAAGCGGATCTTACGGAACCCGTCGGATATCCCGTCGATTGAGCCACGGCTGCGAGAAGGCATATACAATCAGACAGAGGAGCGATGGTGCAGGTGGCTTTAAGCTTACTGTAGTGGACGGTGACGGTTTTATAGGGAGAAGGTGAAGGTCGCGACGGCTTTATAGCTTCTAGAAGAGCCTCCGGTCGCCTTTTCTGCAGCCTTGGGTGTTGATTTGCAGCGGCGATAGTTTGTTGGGTTGCTATCCTGCGGTCGCAGTTTTGATTTCTGATACTTTTGCTGACTCTTTTTCGCATACTTAGGACGCTGCTACGGCGATGATATTGCGTTCACCAACAAGTCTTTAAAGCCGAGCTTTTTCGCCTTTCGGCCTGTTAGCTATGATGCGAAGTTTTTCCTGCCCTAGCCGCTGAAGATCCAAATTCCACCGGAATATGTACGAACATAAACAAGGGAATGGGTGAGGGGAAAGGGAGGCAGGTTTGTGCCGTCGTTGCCAACGCCAACTTTAAAAAGTCGGGCAAACTAGCGGCTCCCGCAGCTGCGGCTTTCGAGGCTGCAACGACGACCGGATACTGCCTTGCGCATGGTTAAATCAATTTGTTGAAACTTACGACTGGATACGTCGCTGTGGAGTGGTTTAGCATGGGCGGAGGTTTTCCTAAGTATCTATGCTTAGACAAAATCTCTTCTTTCTACTGGATCTATTGCCGTTTTGTCTCATATCGCACCCTTCAGTACACTAAAGCAATCTACTATACTATGCAGAAATCAAAATACCAGTTCTCTGAACTGGCTATTTCTTAAGCATTTGCTCCTTGTTAAATTATTTTTGAGACTCGGAAGTCTTTATAGTAAACACAAGTAGATTACTCTTTAGTGTCGTACAAACACAATGTCTAGTCGATACTACATTATTCAGTACAAAAGAGTAGAACTTATAAGAACAACCAATCTTCCCGACTTTTAAACGTATTTCGAGCACCTATGCATTCTTTTAGCTCGTCGCAAGTAGTAAAGCATGCTTTCCTCGAAAGAAATTGCAGAGAGTTTCATGCTTTCAGCCTTGTCTTCGACTTCAGCTTATACTATTCTATACTCTCCCTTTCCGAGAGTAAGCAGCCTCGACAACGCCGGTTGTTAGCAAGCAATAGGACACAATGCAATAACCTGCGCAAAGTACTTTAGCAGGAAGATGGGCTGCGGCAGGCTATAGTCAAGTAGGGCGAGCGGTACGACCTAGAAGGGCCGAAATTAGCCTGCGGATAATTATTCGCTGTTATACCAACGTAGCCGTCATCGTCTGTCCTATACTAGTGTGGCCCCTACCTTATGCACCCACGGCCGTGTGGCACGAAGTCTTGAATGGGGGCTGAATGGTATATATGGCTGAGTTGAAAATCCGATACGGACGTATGTAAGCAATAGTAGCTATAACGGAAGTAACGTGGCGCAGATGCAAAAGGGTTTAGTGCTTAGCTTTTAGCCAGCTGAAGTGGTTAGGTATCGTATGCTATGTAGTTAGACGCTCCTGTATCGCTTCATATCCGGTGGGACAAGGGCTTGTACCACCACCTTTAGGCAACAAGCAAGGGTGACTTCGGGTTAGGCATCTTGGGCTGTTGATCGGGAGCATACAGCTAGCTGTTAACGTCGTACATAGTCAAGCTAGAGCCTACTTAAGCTGAGAATCCCCAGAACACTTTCGCCAGCGCTGACAATTTTTCGGCGATGAAGGTTCTCTCTCCTACTACTTAAGCGTCAGCCTTTCCTCGTCTTGCGTTTTCTTCCACTGCCTCTTGCTACACAAAGCACCTTACCAGGAGAGCGTAAGATTTTCCGCCAAAAGTTAACTGGGTCGATTGGAACACGCCACAGGCGCGCAGCATGCATCAAGCCGCTGATGCTCCAGAGAGCTGTGACTAATAAGACGTACTGTCGTTCCGTCACGCAACTCTGCCTACAAAACAAACGAAACCTACCGCAATTTTCGCACCTCGTTAGAGCAGAGCTTTCCGGCTACAATGCCAGACACTGGACTTCCGTTTTACGAGGAAATTGGAGAAGATCAAATCAGGCTGTTATACCTCGAGCCGTCAATACACGAGACCGAAGACTTCTGTTACAAGATTCAATATTGGTCAGCTAGTGCTGCACCGAAATATGAAGCCCTTTCATATAAATAGGGACCAGATATCCCAGATTACTTTATTATCTTAGACAACCGGCCGGTAAAAGTCAGGCAAAACCTATTAGATGCACTACGAGCTTTACGTCCTAAGCTCTATCGTCTCGTCCTCTGGGTTGATGCACTTTGTATCAATCAGCGCAACAATATGGAGAAGTCTAAGCAGGTCGCAAAAATGGGCCGGATATTCCAGGAAGCAGTCCGTGTCACTTGCTGGATTGGAACGCCTACTAGGGATAGTGATTCCGCTATCGCCTTTCTAAACGCTGCCGGATCGTTTCTCCAGTCAATGCCTTCCCTGACCGAAGAGGAGAAAACATAACCTTTTGTGGAATGGGTCCAAGAGCAAAACGAATATCACCGCCTCGTGTCTGCAGTGAAAAGTCTAGTCGAAGACCGAGGCTACTGGTGGCGCATGTGGATACGCCAAGAAACAGCACTGGCAAAAGAGGCAATAATACGATGTGGGAATAACAACATAAGCTGGCCCTATGTAGTCGTAACCTACCGGCTCTTCATTTTCGGAAATCATTGTTTAATTAACCCTTTCTCTGGATTCAAAAAAACGCTTTTCCACGTGCATAATTTATACATAACGTATAAAGAAAACAACGGTCGTTACCTCAGGTCGCAAGCAAACTCGCTACTTCTCGAACTAGACAGTTCACGGACCTCCAGGGCTACGGACCCGAAAGATAAGTTGTTCAGATTATTAGGCTTATTATATCGCAATCCTCCTGATGACCTAGAGAGACTAAAGCCGGACTACTCACTAAGTCTACTAGAAGTATATACTTCAGCCTTTGAATATTGCGTTTTTGACGCAGACGGTAACCCTCGGTATAATAACAAATGTCTTAAGATTCTGTATTATACTAGGCTAAGCTCTACGCTACGCAACGGATTTCCATCATGGCTGCCGGATTAGTCAGACCGCTCCGACTTCTCATTACAGCCCATATCTTCAGGCCAAGATGAAAAAGAATATTTCGCGAGTCTTTCAGATGTTCCTAAGATAACCCTAAGCGCAGATAAGATGCGATTGAACTGCTTAGGGATAGGCATTGGATACATACAAGAGACTGGAATTACCATAGGGAAAAGTAGCAAGGCTGAATTTCTTAGGGCCGCCCAGAGTTGGTGCCGGATTGCGCAAGCCGCCGCCACCGCACGAGGAAGTGAACCTTCTCCAGAGGACCTACTCGATACTTTCGGAATCGAATCTCACAGAATGCCCAGCTTTGATAGTGTATACGACAACGAAGCACATAAGCGCGCGACGGTCATTACAAACATACTTTCAAAGTCTACCAACATTGATTTGGATGTCCTTGTCCGTATTATGGCTTTCGCAAATAACTGCAAATTCTATTTTGCAGTTTCACAGAACGGCGATTTCCTGTCCGTTCCTCACGAGGCTCGTCTAAACGACATGGTCTGTATTCTCTACGGCTGCGATGTTTCGGTGCTGTTGCGTCCAGAGAATAGAGGGTTCTACACATTCGTTGGCCAATGCTACGTTCAAGGCTTCATGCGTGGCAAAACAATCGAAGGTCTCAGAGATGGACGGTATAAGAGCGAGATGTTTGAACTGCGATAGTAATTTTCTTTGTGGATTCGATTTTCGGATTTCGGAGTTTGGGGGAAAGTATCTGTAAATACTTCTTTGAGCCCTACTGTCGCTTCATCTATATGCATTTCCGTTACTTTTGGTTGTGATTAATTTAGTTTGCTTTTATTTTCCTGTTAAAGAAAATCTGTATAAGCAGCTTGATTGAGTCAGCTTCTCTTCTGTTTCGACCTTAAAACAGGCAGCAACAACAAAAGCATTTTGCTAGGCTTCTCTTGCAATGTAAGAAAACGCGGGTATCCCAAATCATACAGCCCTAGGGCCTGACAGCCGTTCTCATATACTTAAGGGAACACGCTGGTTTTGCCTTAATATGCTAAACAGTCCTGGGAAGATATCCTAAGCAAATAAGGTTCTTATAGGTTAGCATTAGCTAGATCTCTCTCGGTAGTATCTTCTTAAGCTTCTTATATAGTCGCGAAAGTAGATTTCCTAAGTATCGAACCCCTTTTCTTTATTAAAGAAGGGGCTGCCAACATAGGGACTTACGCGCTAGCAAACCAAATGCAACTAAGCACTATATTATAGACAGTTATCACAACCCTTTCTTAGCATTGTTGTCCAGTTCGATCGTGTTGAACCAGCTTACATCTTGTGCTCTACTATTGGGAAATCAGTACCACCGTTACTGAAGATTACGCTAAACCATATCACGCTTTAAGTAAAGCTGCCTTTATGTTTATGTCTCTTTGAAAAGGTCGGAGATATACGTCGCTGTAGGGTCAGCCTGTAGCTTTTCTTTATAGTAAAAAGTAATGTTTGTTCGCGCGCTTGCTGACCTGGATAAGGTAAGCATATAAAGGAAATTTTACACTCTAAATTGTTTCATAGCGAACGGCCCTAATGAAACTAAGATTGTATTTGATTCTAATTTATATCTTTTTGCAACAGGAATGCCTCCTCTCAGTTTAATTTCCTACTTCCTTACGTCCTTTAAGAAGACCTCTCTGTTCGTTTTCCATATGCCGGTTAATAAAAGCCAACAGTAAAAAGTATTTAGCAGGGAAGAAGAACTAATAATATACTCTTTATTATACGTAGGCTTGCCGCTTCATCTCAACATCTAATCCCCTTAAACTTAACAAGCACTGTCTTATACCTCCGTGTTCCATAGCGCGCAATGCTAGTAGCTTAGTTCATTCATAGGACAAAGCTAATAGTAAACAACAAGCCCTTCGCCCCTAAGACTAAGAAGCCGGCCACGCAGTCTGTAGTCCAAGCCTATACCCGCCTTACTTATACGAAGCGCATGACACCTGTTTCTCTATAATAACCTTATAAAAAAGACATCCGCTAACCGAGGCACTACAGGCGGAGCAAACGAAATACAATATCAAAGAGACGGTCGGTTCTTTACTTTAGGACTCGAGACGCGCTGAAGCCGAAGCGACGCTTAGTAGTAGGTTCCTAAAGACGCCAAGCAGTGGTTCGCCGCCTCCAGGGCTCTTACTAATTATTCTCTCACCTCCAACCCTAACTGCTTTAGGGATAACAAGGTCTTTTACGTCGTAAGCCGGTTTATCTAGAACACGAAGACTTAACCCTTTTTCTCCTTTTGTAAAACACAGCCGGAAGACGCATTTACCTTTGGAAAAAGGAGCCTCGCTTCTAAAGCAATAAAGACGGGAAAGCTAAAAAAGGAAACGAAGGGTACGGCAGTTAATTAATAAATTTCGCAACGAGACTTACCGCAACCAAGTAAACAAACTTTCAATATAAAACCTTCTTTGTACCAATTAACTCAAACTCCAATGAGCTGACCCAGCGCAAAACCGTCATTTACATGCTACCCAGCAGGTTTCTATTGCAGCAAGGCTGAAAGCATGAATTCGATTGTCCTAATGTTAGGACGAGGCTAACTCCCTTGCATAAGCCTGTACGCTATCCGTACCGGATAGCAGAATCGGCAGGCATTGCAGTCCTGTATACGGGGCAAAGATATTGAATCTGGCAATGACGTACCGAGGCAAGGCGAAGGACAGAGACGTGTAACTGTTTCAACGGCGACGGGTTTGACGGCCATGAGTATTAAGAGTAGTACGGATACCTTTTAGCAGCCACAGAAGATTGCTCCGCGCGATTTCACCGGCTGGTGGGCGGCATAGAAGATGGTGGCACATAAAGAAAGGCGGCACAGAACGACAGAACGACACAGAATAACAGAACGACAACTGGCACAGAAAACAGACGGCACAAAAACCAAGCGGCATAAAAAACTAACAAACGCACCAAAACTTCCTGGCACAGTTTAGGACACCCCGCAACAGCGCCGTTCCCTCCTCGCACACGCCATAACTCTTTACCCTCACACCCACACTAACTCTTCCTTTCCCCGCACCTCCTTAAGTCGACACCAGCAAGCAACCAAGGTTAAACCAAGTCCCAGCAAAACGACCAGCCGTACATAAGCAGCGGCGAAGCAGGAGCTTCCTTTCGGTCGGGTGTAAGATCTAAGCAAGATAAAGCAGGCAGGTCGGCGTGCGCGCCGTGCCAAAATAGGAATAGAAAAGATAAAATACTATATAGTCGCACCATTCGACGGGGTAGGTCTCTCATTCTAACACAGCTTTGCTTAGGGTTACGGGAATAACAGGACCGAAAACAAATCTCAATAGGGCACGATAAGGAGATAGACGTAAGTACTCTAATAGTAGCGCGTAGTACGGCCATAGTAGATACAGATACTTCCGATATACATACCTATTATTTTATACATAGAGATACGCTATCCCTAGCACGCGCTGCCAGCCGCAACCCACGCCAGCCTCGCTCACCGACACGCCACCGCAAGACGCAGAGGCGAAAAGCGGAGCCAGCTCGCACTACCCAGGTATCTACGGCATGACGAGCAGCATCCAGCCCCAGCTCAATCCTATCCCAGCATAGTGTATTCCCTCCTCGCAGCCTCATACCAACAACTAAGTTCACGCAGGAGCGCAAGGAGGCACAGCGCCGAGGTCGATGAATGGACGAAGTACGGGGGCGTTTCTCGCCGCTGAAGTCGGTGCATGCGCATGAGCGTGAGCGTGAGCGTGTGAGTGAGCAGGGCGCGACCGACGCGTAACGTTGTAACAAGCACGGCGGCGGCTGTAGCCGTGGTGGTGTCCTTGCCGTGCCGTGTAGGCGGGTAGTGGTCGAGCGAAGGGTGTTGGGAGCGCGTAAGGGAGAGACGCTTGCTTTGTCGCGCGAGCGAAAGCGGCGTAATTTACGCGGGGAGGCGCGAGTACGGCGCGCGATGCCGCTTTTGGATGAGCGCGTATTTTTGCGGGCGCACGACGACGAACTACGCTTACACGCTTTGCTGCCTCGCATCCTATCCCGCTTGGTTACGGCGCTCGAGTCGCATCGCGGTAATCAGCTACTTCCGGCTGTCGGAATTCTCTCGCCTGCTCCTCTCCTTCGCTTGCGCGCGGCTCGGCCGCCGTCTCTCCCCCGCACCTGTACCTGCGACCGGACGCGCCGGCTTCGCGAGCGATCTATCCTTCCTTTATCGAGACGGCTGGGGGATAGGAGTGCCGGCCAACGACCTCGGATAATAGAGAGAGAAGGGGATGGTACAACGGGACGGCTCTGAGGAGAGGGCGAAGCCGTGGCTGTGAACGAGGAGCCGCGCGTTTGTGGGCATGTGGGTAGCGGATGTAGGAACACTGGAAGATTTCTGAGATGAGATTAGTATGGAATGGTGATGCACAGCTGAGATGGTGAGCTAGGTGGTAGGTTCTAGACACGGCGTTCGCTGTTTAGGTTTCTGCGACGGCACGTACACGCTCCCGACTACGAATAACTTTAGCGCTAGATACTACCGAGAGACCTCTCTAGTCTCAACCTCTTCCAATCGCTCCGAAGCTTCTAGTCGATGAAATACAGGGCTGAAAGTCTTCGTCTCCCGTCTTTCCCGGCGGCTATCCGATATTAACGAACGAACGAACGGAATACGAAGAAAGAGCTTAAGGCTGTTAGATTTGGGTGCGATACTTTATGGAAAGGGACCTGGTTCGGGCTTAGAGATGGAAGGTAAATCAAGATGGCGGCGCTACAATTCGGTGTCGCGGGTCGCCGTCAGGGTCTCTGCAACACCGATTGCGACCGGCGACCATCACCTTCTCACACACAACGAATCAACCCACGCAGCTGCAAATCACTCAATTTATCAAGAATTCGATTCCTTCGTCAATTCTCATTAATATTTTGTCTGATAGCCCTTGGCCCTGTACACAGCTTCCCATCTAGCCTTCATAGACCGAGCGAGCTTCTTCACAGTTGGCCTCTGGACATGCTCCCAAGCACGAGGCAACCACTCGGCCATCTCAGCTTCAATTGCTTCCGGGTCACCTTTCCTAGCCAGTAGAT